TGCACTCCAACCTGGGCGACGGAGTGAGACTCCAACTCAAAAAAAAAAAAAAAAAAAAAAGAATCTATAATAGTATATTGAATAAGATATGAGCCAAAGATTCTTTCGCTTCACATTATTACTTTTTCAGTATTATTTATTAAATAGTGTTTTTTTCTCCCACCTGGTACTATATTTGGTTTTATATTAAAAATTTTAATGTGTTTGACTCTGCCTCCAACATCTCTCCTCTGTTCTATTAGTTGATTTTCTGCTTTTAACCCAATATCATACCATTTTATAATTTACACTTTGTACTCTTTTAATATTTAATAAGGTATATCTCCCATCATTGTTTTTTCTTTCCAATTCATTCTTTAATAGGACCTTTACCCTTCTTTAAATCCTTTAACTTTTCCATATGCCTTTTATTATTGCTTTGAAATTATACAAAGATTTTGATCAATGCTGACCTATATAAGTCCATAAACTAATTTAGGAAGTTTTGACATCTCCAATATGTATATATTTCCTCTCAACCAGAAACAGTGTTGCCTTCTTTTTAGTCAGGTGTTTGTTTAATTCAGTTTTTCTACTTTTTGTGTAAGCCTCTGTTGGATTACTTGCCAAGAATGTTTATTTTTTTAATGGTTGTAGATGAGCTTTGTTTTTGTATCCTTTGTGTGTTCCTGCATGAACCTTTTCGGCTCAGTTATGTGATTTTTCTCTAGTGGAAAGTGCTTGGTAACCTAACTGCAAGCATGAAGAAGGTAGGTGTTAGGAATTTGCTAGCGTGGCCATAAAAGGATAAGGTGTAAGAGTACTGAAAGGGTAGACAAGGAGTGGGCCAGGATGTCAGCGCCACAGAAACATGGAGACAGTGGGAGGGTGGATAAATAGAAGCAGCTGGGAGGGGGTTAGTGTCAGCAGTCCAGAGGGGACAGGTATGGGGAACACGTGGGATGATATAGGAGAGGAGGACCAGGAACTAGGCACAAAGCTGCCTCATTAATGAAATGGCATGGATTGCGTTTGGGCTCTGAGAGTCATGAGAAGGTCTGATCAGGAGCAGGGCATTTCACAGAAGGACAGGATGCAGTGCTTGGAAAGAGTTTGGAGAAGCAAGGTGGAAACTGAACTTCCCTAACTCTGAGATAATGGAATGGAGGGAATTGGCATACCTTGAGAGAGTGTTCCAGTCCTGAGGGTGGGGAGGAGAAGAGGTGGTGAGGAACTGGGGTATCTGTGCAGCAGGTTCTTTTTTTTTTAAGTTCTTTTTTAGGTTGTTTTTTTTTTTTTTTTGAGTCGGAGTCTCGCTCTGTTGCTCAGGCTGCAGTGCAGTGATATACTCACAGCTACTGCAGCCTCTACCTGCTGGGCTCAGGCGATCCTTTTGCCTCAGGCTTCCAAGTAGCCGGAACTGCAGGCATGCACTACCATGCCCGGCTCATTTTTCTTGAAATATGAAGTACTGTCCAATTAATACACATGTGCCCAAATGTCTTATCATTTACTATATGTAATTTTTTGCACTAGAGTTTCATGAAGAATCAGAAGGTGGACCAGAGGAGAAGAGTTCTGTTGGTTTTTGTTGCATATATCTAAGACAAAAAACTTATAAGTAAAATATCAAGTTACTCTTTTATCTGAAATCTGGAGATAATGCCAACTTTTCAGGCAGATATGGTATGTTGTCTTGTATTTTAGAACAGTGACTCTCATGCTTCAGTGTAGCCCAGAGTCCCCTGAAGGGTTCGTTCCTCACATGCACAGCTGGTTCCTCCTCCCAGAATTACTGATGTGGCGGGGGAGGGGAGGCACAAGTCTCTAGCAAGTTTCTGAGTCTTGCTGGCACGACCACACTTGAGAACCACTGTCCAGAAGAGCCGGAAGCCCACAGATGTGTTACGGAACCCGTTTTTAGAAGTGCAGGTCTGTTTCCCTCCTTCCGTGCCCTTGGTCAGCACCTTTGTCACCCTCATCTGCCCCGCTTGGGAGGCAGGAAGTGGGGACCACCTGGGGGAGCTGTGGGGTGAGTGAAGGCAGGCGGTGTCACCTGCCCTGGGGAGAGAAGGGCACAGAGTGTGAAGGAGAAGGGCAGGCTGGCGAGCAGCTCAGCTCCTGCCAGTGGAGGACAGCTTAGTAGTTGGGTTAGTGGTTTGGGTCGGCTGACTGCAGGTTAGAAGGGTGTAGATGTTCACAACTCGGAACTTGCTCCTTCGTCTTCAGGTATCTTCAATATAGTTAATGCACATGGTGCTGGAGCGAAACTAGTGCCTTTTTGGGCTGACTTTTTTTCCTTTTTTTCTTTGTTTTTTCAATAATCAATATTTTTTTATTATGATGTTGTGGGGTACAGTTAAGGGTTAGGTATACAAATACGTTTCATTCAGGCACCCTGTTGATTAGAGGTGCTTCCCCATCCCCAGACAGATATTTGCTCATTAATTGACCTTTTTTCTAGTGTAGAAATTATTTCAGATTGGTAATTAGGTTTATTTACCCTCAGTTTATCTTGCTGATGAAATTTGCCTTTTGTCCTCCCAAAGGATTTATTAGAAAAATATTACCTAAAAACAAGATCCTTTACTGGTAGTATATTTAAAGGTGGAGGTGTTTATGTGTGTGTTTGCTTTTCCTTTTTCTTTTTCTTTTTTTTTCCCCCTCTCTTGGGAGTCTCTTGTCTGTTGGAAATTTGTGTGTTATAGACTGAATTGTGTCTCCTTCCCAAAATTTATTTATTTAATTTTAAAATTTTATTTTAAATATGTGGGATACAACTCAGGATTAGGTATGCAAGTGATCCTTGTACAGGTAAAGTTTAGGCCTCCCTTTGGTCCCCATTTTGCCTGGTTTGAAGTCAGGTACCCTTATTGAGGTTGTGACCCCTCCCCTACCCCCACCCCAGCAGTGTTCCACTATTGCCAATTCCTTTCTTATTTGCTTTTCTTAAGTATTTACAGAGAATACCATGGTTGTCTTCGTTGTATTATTTTCCTTGTTCCTTATAGAGAGAAGTAATCAGGAGCTGAGGAGTTTTTCCTTTCTTTCTTTTGTTCTTTCATTCTTTTTTTCTTTTATTTTTTGTTTGTTTGTTTTTGAGGTGGGATCTCAATCTTTCACCCAGGCTAGAGCGCAGCCTCAGCCTCCCAAGTAGCTGTAGCTAAAGACACATGCCACCACGCCTGGCTAATTTGGTTTTCTTCTTGTTTTGGTAGAGACAAGGTCTTTCTATGTTGCCCAGGCCAGTCTTGAACTCTTGGCCTCAAGCAGTCCTCCTGCCTCGGCCTCTCAAAGCACTGGAATTACAGAAGTGATGCCTGACCAGGAACTAACTCTTCTATCAGCAAAATATTTCTCCATAATTCAAACTAGAATTAATAAGTGATTGCTTTGCATTAAACAGCATGCCTTTTTTTTTTTTTTTTTTTTTGCTAAACTTGTTTATTGCATAATATATTCATTAGCATTCAATGTACTAAACAATAGCCCTTTTTTTTGGATGTCTGTTCTTAGTACACTCAGAAGAAGCCTTGTTTTTACTGGCAACCTGTTATTACCGCTCAGGAAAGGCATATAAAGCATATAGACTCTTGAAAGGACACAGTTGTACTACACCACAGTGCAAATACCTGCTTGCAAAGTGTTGTGTTGATCTCAGCAAGTAAGTTTTAAAATATTTTCTAGCTAATTTTGTTTTACTTACCCTGTAGAACTTTGGATACAATTCTTTTGACAAATTAAACTGATGACTCTCTTTCTTTCCTCTTGTGGGCAGTAAGGATTTATCTATTTCAGTAACATTTGAAATGTTGACACCATTGCCTGTGGCATTATTTATGTTTTAGAGATTTCATTGCTGTAATAATAAGTAATGGAAATTAACTCTGGAGAAACTTAAGTTAAAACTGATTCTTAGTGGTTTCTGGAATGACTGCAAATATCATTTCCATTTCTTTACTTTCCGTGTTAGCCCAGTTTGAACAAACCTGAAAATGTACTGGTACACTTGACATTACTGTTCCCTTGTGTTTAGGTGATTGTGTGATTTGCTTTCAAGATCAGTTTGTTGAGTACTTTTTTTATACATTACAGTTAAACCAAGGCAGGTTTCTCTATACTAAACATGGAGGCAGCTAGAGATAGAGAAGTTATAGAGATAGAGAGTGTTTTAAGCTTCTTATTGTGCTGTAGGAGGTAAAATAATGGTAAATGTGACTAAGCAGATATTTATAACACTTACGTGTATTTAGTTTGTAGGTAGGTTTACAGTAGGAAGATACGAATAAGTCTTGGAAAGGCACCACAGACTGATACATATCTACATTATTTTGTGACTTTTTTTTTTTGAGTTGGAGTTTTACTGTGTTGCCTAGGCTGGAGTGCAGTGACACACTCATGGCTACCACAGTAGTAGTGGGATTATAGGCGTGAACCACTGCACCTTGCAAGAATGGAGATGACTTTAATTTAAGCTAACTAAAATATCTAAAAATTTCTGAGACATTTGTTATTAAATTATCTATTTTTTTTTATAGACAAAGTCTTGCTGCGTTTCCCAGGCTGGCGTATAGTGGTACAGTCACAGCTCACTGCAATTTCCAACTTCTGGCTGGCCTCAAGCTATTCTGCCTCCGTCTCCTGAATAGCTGGAACTCCAACCTTGGGTCACCAGGCCTGGCTAGTTGTTTATGTTTCTTTTTTTTTTGTACTGATGAGGTCTTGCTATGTTACCCAGGCTGATCTTGAACTCCTGAACTCAAGTAATCCTTCTGACCTCCCAGAGTGCTGGGATTACAGGGTTGAGCTGGTCTGTCTGACCTTGATTTATTTTATTTTATTTTATTTTATTTTTTGAGTCGAAATCTCACTCTGTCGCCCAGACTGGAGTGCAGTGGCCGCTCCTAGCCACCGTAGCCTCGACCTCCTGGGCCTCTGGCGATCCTTCCACCTCAGCCTTCCAAGTAGCTGGAACTACAGGCGCGCGCTACCACGCCCGGCTGATTTTTGATTTATTGTAGAGATGAGGTCTCACCAAGTTGCCCAGGCGGGTCTCGAACCCGCAGGCTCAGGCAATCCACTCACCTCAGCCCTCCCAAGGCGCGGGATGATTTATTTTTAAATTTCCAAGATTCAAATATTGAGTAGATTAAAGCCTACTTTTTTACCTAACTTGAGAGTTAGTTTCTTAAGCCAATTCTTACATTAACTTTCTTGTCCCGTTTATAAATATTCATACTTTTATTTAAAAGTTCCACCAATAGTAAAGGGACTTTAGATATCTACCTTTTGTGTTCCAGATATGCTGTGTAAACTTGCTTGAGAGTTTTTCACATGATGATTTTGATTGTTTTTAATTAAAAACTTTAAAACACAAATCATTACAAACATCAGTGTGCTAAAAATAGATGGTGAAATCAGGCAGTTTTGGTTTTTTTCATTTGGAAAACATAATTTCCTATGTTAAGAAAATATGATCAACAAAGAGAGGTAAAGTGCTAGGCAAGTTTCATTGATAAACCTTAAAATGGCTGAGGCCGTTAAGTATGCTATGTTTAATTAAAATATGTTAGTCTTGCTTAATTTGCATACAGTTTTCTACTTCAGGGAAGTACAGATCCAAGTGGGCCTCTGCATTTATTCATGAAGAGCTGTTTCTGCAACCCCTGCCCCCGCAGCATGCCCATCTTCTGTTTCTTCTGACATGAGTTACGAATATGCTGCTCAGACTGGACTTGTCCATATAGAAACTAAATCTAACTGGGCTCTGTTTTTAAAAGCAAAATTGAAATTTTAAGGTCATGAATTACTAGTCTCTTCAGTGATTCTAAATACATGTTTACCACTATTCTAAATTTCTTTTAAAAATTTTTTTAGAAAAATATTGTCTCTCTAGTTAAACACACATTGATAATGAAGAATGTCTTTATATAAAGTGCTTTTTATATTGATTTTTTAAAGACTGTATTTGTATTTTGAAGGCTCGCAGAAGGGGAGCAGATCTTATCTGGCGGAGTGTTTAGTAAGCAGAAAAGCCATGACGATATGGTTACTGAATTTGGGGATTCCGCTTGCTTTACCCTTTCTTTGTTGGGACATGTGTATTGGTAAGTGAGAAAGCTTCAGATACCAGAAAAGTGTGCCCTATGAGAATGCTTTGCGGTTTAAAAAAAACCTGTATCGATCTGTGTTTTTCAGATGCACTTGGCTGAGCAATATTCAACCTTCTGATTCTGTGCCCTTTTAAATCTATAAAATATCTCATTTTGACTCTCCACTTGGCCCTAATGATAATAGCTCCTCGTATAGCAGCACAGCGTAACAATTGGGTGCATGTAATGTTCTACCTTGTATGAAAAGTATCTCTATGTGATCCACTGAGAAAAAAGAAAAAAAGACTGAAATTTGTTTTCTCTAATATTAAATATCACTGCAACTCCTTAGAAAGAGGCTTGAAGGCAGGCTTCAGTAATAAAGAACAGTGGTTCCCTTGTGGTGTGTCATAATGATCTTGAGATTTGTCACAAGACATTTCCTTCAATGGTAATTGAAATAATAGTGATTTTGTAAATAATTTTTAAGTTTATTTAAATTAGATTTCTTAAAAGTAAGTGTCAGTGAATTCAAAGTTATCACTATAATAACATTGTCCTCATTTTCATTCTGAAATACTTTGGGAGTTGGGAGTAGAGGTGTAGTTAGGATAAGAGGAAGCGGTGGTGGCTCGACCCATGGGAGTTCTTCACGCGCTTAGATGTCATCTGCTACATATCATGGGAGAAGCGCTTGAGGGCTGCTTCTCTAAAGGACTAGGGTGGCATCTGTTTGAAGACAAGCTGAGGATAATTTGAATAGTGGTTATTTTAAAAAAACACGTTGAAAATGTCTTTCTGAATAGAATAAATAACTTGACTAAACATGGGAGCTCATCTTTAAATGTAGTAGAAGGTCTGTCTGGTGACACCACTCGAGAACAGGAGTAAGCAAAAATATTGTATCAGTATCTTCATTTATCTTAAGAAGACACCTGGGAATAATGAATTTCATTCAGGCAGCTGTGATTCGTCTTGTCATTTCTTCAAGAAACTTTGAGATTCATCCCCCATTATTTAGCAAGACTCAGTACATGGCACTGGGAACATGAAGATAGCTCACAGTCCCACCCTCAATAGCTTATAATAGAGAAGGAGGAGAGAAGCAGTAAAAAAATTTGTGTGATACTGGGAAATGTAGACTTAGTCTGGGACTCTCTTTCCTGGCCTACAACTGCAATCCTTAGCATCTCTTAGGATATCTCTTTGTATGCAAATAGCCGACTGACTGGTGGCTGGCAGCCCCTAGCTTCAGGATGGGGCTGGTCACCTGAAAGGCCAAGGCATGGTGGGACAGTTGGGATCTTTCTGCCCCATCCCCATCCTCTGGACTTGGAAAAAGTCTGAAGGTTAAGTTACTCACCAGGGACTTCATTAGCCATGCCCATGTCATGAGGCCCCCGGAAAAACCCAAGCAGACAGGGTTCAGAGAACTTCTGGATAGCAGAAGCGGGGAGGCTCCTGGAAGGAGGGGTGTGGACACTATCCCCCTGCCTCACCCTACACATCTCTTTGTCTGTATCCTTTGTAATATCTTTTATAATAAGTGTTTCCCTGAGTTCTGTGAATTGCTCTATCAAATTAAACCCAAGGAGGGGGTTGTTGGCATCCTGGTTTCTTTTTATTTTTGAGTCAGGTCTCACTATGTGGCCCTGGTAGAGTACAGTGGCCCAATCACAATTTGCAGTTCACTACATCCTTCCACCTCAGCCTCCCATGTAGCTGACTCTTGCCACCATGCCTGGCTAATTTTTTTATTTTTTAAATTATTGTTTTAGAGACAGGGTCTTGCTATGTTACATAGACTGGCCTCGAACTCCTAGATTCTAGGAATATCCCCACCTTGGCCTCCTAGAGTGCTGGGATGACAGGCGTGAGCCACCGTGCCCAGCCTTGTGAACAGTGATTTAAAGCTGGATGCTCAGAAGTGCAGGAGTCCTGAACTTGTGACTGGTGTTGGAAGTGGGAGGACAGTCTTGGGGACCGAACCCTCAGCTGTTGGATGGGAGGCTATCTCCAGGTCAGTCATATCAGAATTGACTTGAGTTGGAGAACATCCTGCTGGTGTCTGCTGCTTGGTATGGGGGGAAGACCTACACATTAGGCCACGGGAGTCTTCTGTGTTGGTGATTATTGTTGAGTGAGGGAATAGAAAAGTGTTGTTTTTCCACACTCAGAGTAAGTTTTTATTATCACAATAAAAGGCCCATGGTAAAGTTGGAGAAGTATTTTGTACAAATGAGAGGATAATCAGTTCTGCCTTGTTAAGAAAAGGGGTAATGGTAACTAGGAGAGACTTGATAGGAAAAGTACAATTTGACATCATCCCATATCTATAGAATGACTTCTGAAGAAAGGATGTTCGAGGACTGTAAATTATTTGAGAGGAGTGATATATAAAAACTAGGGAGAAAAACATTTATGAAAGAAGTTGTGTAATTTAATAAGGGGGGAATGTCTTAGAAATATTGATTCTTAACACCATATTCTTTTACTTTTAGAAGATTAACTAAAATGAAGTTTTATAAATTTTTTTCTTTGGTTAAAAAATATCAGGTTACAGTCTCTGGCCATACTACCCTGAACGCACTCAGTCTCATCTGATCTCGGATGCTAAGTGGGGTTGGGCCTGGTTAGTACTTGGATGGGAAGAATTCAGTTAGATAATAAAAAGCCATATGTTGAAATACTTGGAAATTAAACAACGCACTTCTAAATAATTTGTGAATCAAAGAGGAAGTGTTACAAGAAATTTTAAAATTTTTTAAATATATGAATGAAAAGGATAATGTACAATGTTAAAAACTAATACAGCTAAAGGTGTCTCAGAGGGGAATCTATAGCACTAAATGCTCATATTATGAACGACTAAGCTTCTGTCAGAAGACTAGAAAAAGAAAAGCAAAATAAATCTTAGCAAACAGAAAAGAGGAATAATAAAGAATAGAAATCAGGGCAGCCCCTTCAGGTCCCCTCCCACTGTGGGAGCTTTTCTGTCCTCTCAATAAATCCTGCTTTCTAAAAAAAAAAAAAAAAGGAAAAGAAAAGAAGAAGAAAAACAAAGGAAATCAGTGAAACTGAAAACAAAAAGTTTGAGAGAATTTTTCTTTTGTTAATGTAAAAAAGAAATAGTTATAATTTAAGTCTTATTTTGGACTCCAGCAATAAGACTATACTTCAGCCTGGGTGACAAGGGTGAGACTCCAACTCAAAAAAAAAGAAAAAGAAAAGAAATAACATCTACTCAGCTGGGTGCAGTGGCTCACTCCTGTAAAAAAGCTCAGAAGGTCGAGGCTGCGATGAACCCTGATTGTGCCACTGCACTCCAGCCTGGGTGACAGAGCAAGACCCTGATTCAAAAATTAAAAAAGGAAGAAGAAAGAGCATTGACTCTTCCCTGTTCTCTGACTGTCCCAGCCCTTAATCTTTGCCTTTGCATCTCCACTGTGGCCAAGAACAGGGTGTCCTCTTCTTCTTCACTGCTGTGATCCCTTCTGCTTCTCACCCCCAGGTCGCCAGACCCCTAACTGAGGCCTCATGTGTCTCCTCCCCCTTCAGTCTATCTGGGTAGGCCCCTCTTCTCTGAGAGCACTGACCAGAGACTACCTACTTATCTTTTCAGAGTTCTTTCTTGCAATTTCTTCTGGGCTTTCTTTCTTTTTTTTTTTTTTTTTGAGTTGGAGTCTCACTCTGTCACCTAGACTGGAGTGCAGTGGCCGCTCCCAGCCACCGCAGCCTCGACCTGCTGGGCTCCAGCGATCCTTCCGCCTCAGCCTTCCAAGTAGCTGGAATTACAGGCACGCGCTACCACGCCTGGCTAATTTTTTGATTTACTGTAGAGATGAGGTCTCGCCAAGTTGCCCAGGTGGGTCTCAAACAGGCAATCCACTCACCTCAACCTCCTAAAGCGCTGGAATTACAGGCTGAGCCACCAAGCCCGGCTTCTGGGCTTTCTGAGAACAGGGAATGCCATCTTTCTCATGTTTATATTGCCTACTTTCTGTCTTCAAGTAGCCCCTGCCCCTTGCTTTGCCAGCACAGTAAGATAAAACACACACTTTTACTAGTAATCTTTAAGACTGCATTGAGTGGACTGTATGGATTATTTACATAGCTGGGAAAGTAGTAGACAAACATTGATTGATCTAAGCAAAAGTAAAACAATCCATCAGGAAAAATTTCCTAGAAACGTACATGGTGACCCTTTGTGATGACCTGCTAGGGATAGAGTGGAAACTTAAAATAGGAAATGAAGAAGAGGTATAAAAAGATCATTTTCTGAAAGTGGCAGGTGGAGAGTGGCAAATCAGTGCCAGAAACGCTTAACCATAAGGCAAGGAAAAAGGAGCATACAGTGAAATCTCAATGTTGGAAGGGTACCGTAAACTTCACACTGTTCCACAGCCATTTCTTCCGTATTTCCTTCTTGCAGTTTCTAAATAAAGCTATCTCTCAGGCCTTAGTCTCCTTCATTATAAATTCTTCTCTGGTGAGCATCTCTTCTGTAGAGATGACCACTAAATCTCCTTTCCTGATTTCAAACTTACCTTTCCTCTGCCTGCTGGGCAGTTTCATCTAGGTTTATGTCCTTAGTAAATTCAAAATCAAGTTCATCTTTTCTCCCAAATCTGTTCTCTCTCCTTATTTGTATGTGTGTTTTAAGGGCACCACTATTCTTTTTTTTTTTTTGGAGTACAGCATGTTATTTTAACACATGTAAATATTGTGGGATGATTAAAACAGAACTACTATTTTTTTTTTTTTTTTTTGGGTTGCAGTCTTACTCTCGCCCAGACTGGAGTGCAGTGGCCGCTCCCAGCCACCGCAACCTCAACCTGCTGGGCTCCGGTGAACCTTCCGCCTCAGCC